TCCGTACCAAATTAGTTTCATTAGATTTTTCTAATTGTTCGAAGATTTTGTTTTAAACCTGAGACATGAAATCCAAGTTCTAATTTTTTTATTATCTGTTTGTTACAACTTATGGTACAGTGTTATATCCCAATTTATATTTTTTTTATTTTTGAGATTATTAAGAGCCCTCCCATTTTATCAATGTCATGCATAATTAGTCTGGTTAAGGTAAAATATTAGTTCTTATTTTTTAATTTTAGGATTTATCTTTGTATTTTTTCTTACTTCTAGAGTAACCAATGGTTCAGAAGTGCGGATAGTTAGTTGCCTTAAGTTGTATGGCAATGTTGAACTATGTTAGGATATTATAATTCTTTTTGGTTCTTGCTCAAGAATTTATTTGTTTGAATGTTTATTAATTTGTGTTTATTTGTGAACTTTTATAATTTGTGTTTGTTTGTGAACTTTTAATATATTTTATATTGTATCTAATAACTATGCACGGTGGATAAATAAAAAAATTTTAAAAAAATTATTAACCCAAGAAAAAATAGAGGGTTGGGAGGCTCCTACACACTTTCTCCCCCTCACTTCACTTGCAAACCGAAAAGATTAGGGAAAGAAAATACTATATCGAGAAGAGGAGGTGGAGAAGGACGAACCAGTGGTATTTTCAAACGAGTACGACGCCAGCGAGTTATTAGAGTCTCTACCCACGTCACGGAAGCAACGACAACCATTCAACACCGCCACGATAAGTGATACTGTACCTTTCGTAGTATACAATGTCATAATTCAATAAATTAGTTGCGCGTGAGGTAGTTCTATGCAAATCAGTGTCTTCATATGAGTTATTTTAGTTTAAATAGAAGTTTTAGTGTTAGTAAAATACAGCTACATTACAACATTTCATATTTCAGTTTTCTCTGTATTGTCTCATTTGAGTAATAATAATTTCAGATTTATTCACATTTTGAGTGTTAGATACTGTGTCAGTTGGTATCAGAGCTAGGTTGGTAACCAATGGCATGATATTATTATTCAACGAGATGAATGGTGGAAGTGCTTCTACGTGTATAGCTATGTTGTTGGTAATAATTATAATTATTAGAAGTTATGTATGAAAGTTTATCGACATGGACAAGATTTGTGGGATTTAATTGGAGTGATACAGAAATTCCAACAAATACTCCACAGAATGATGAATTACGCCGAAAATGGAAGATCAAATGGGAAAAAGCTTTATTTACCTTGCGAACTTTGATTAGCAAGAAATATATTGATCATGTTCGTGATTTAAAGTCACCAAAGCAAGTGTGAGAAACACTTCAAAAGTTGTTCACTAAGAAAAATACAGGATTGCAATTTCTAGAGAATGAAAAATCTGTGTTCTAAAATTTCAGAATTAAATGTTGAGTAGCCCGTGAGTGCTGTTTGATTACAACGTTATCTTATTCGTGGATTACGAAAAGACTTTATGCCCTTTGTTTCCTCAATACAAGGTGGGCAAATCAGCCTACAATTATTGAATTGGAGAATTTACTTTCTAGTCAGGAAGCTTTGATTGAGCAAATGACTAGCAGCAAAAAGCTTTCTCTAACGTCAGAAGATGTGTTGTATGTCAAAGATCAAAGGAGACAGAATTTTCATTCAAAACCTTCATCAAGCAATGAGAATCAATTCAAAAGTGAGAAATCGTCAAAGAACCCATTTAAAGCTTGTTACAAGTATGGAAAATCTAGCCATCTTAAACGAGATTATCGGGTGAAAGTGGTGTGTGATCATTGCAGAAAGCCAGACCATATTAAGCCAAATTGTCGAGTCAAAATGCAGGAATCAGAAGCAAATGTTGTACATGAAAGTAAAAATTCTTCAGATCCATTTTGGGAACACTGTTTAACTATTGAGGTTCTTGACCGGCCAACAAACGTGACTTCAGTTACACATCAAGATGATGTCTCTGCAGATGCTCGTGCCTTTATAGACTACAATGAAGAATGGATTGTCGATTCTGGTTGTTCTCATCATGCAACTGGAAACGAAACTCTTCTATCAGATGTTCGTCCACATTGTCAAAAAAATGTCATTGTGACAGCCGATAATTCAATGCATCCTGTGACAAAAGAAGAAGATTTGAATGATGAGAGTGTTCTACTCAAGAACGTTTATCATGTTCCTGATTTGAAGAAAAATCTTGTTTGTATCACAAATAACAGATTCAGGAAGAAAAGAATCTTTGTATGTTTTATCAGCTAGTGATGAATATATCAAGAAAGCTGGTCAATAATGCAAGCTCAACGCTTTGACATGCTCGTTTGGGTCACTAGGTTTTCAGTTGTGACATAAAATATCCACAAAACAACTTCTTGATGGTGTCCCTATTTTTAAAGATATTCAGCATGATGAGATTTGTCAAGGCTGTCAATATGGCAAGTTCAAAGAGTAGAGCTTCAATAGTATTGGAATTGATTCATTCTGATCCTTTGGGACCAACACAAACACAAAGCTATACTGGCCTTCGTTACGTGATGGTGTTTGCAGATGATTTCTCTCATTTCAGTTGAGAATACTTCTTAGAACATAAAAGTGAAACTTTTTCAAAGTTTATTCAGTTCAAGCATGTGGTAAAAAAAAGAATTTGAATTGAAAATCAAGTGCTTTCGCACCGATAATAGAGAAGAATTTCTTTCAAATGATTTTATGGAATATTATAAGGAGCATGTGATTCTGTGTCAACTGACTTGTCTAGAAACCCCGCAACAAAATGGGGTGGTTGAGCGCAAGTTAGCTATCTTACATCAGTTTGCTAGTCTTGGCTAAATGCGAGGAGTCTTTCAAGAGAGTTATGGGCATCAGCTTCTCAATCAGTTTGCCATGTTTTAAGCCTCCATGACCAGGGACAAAATCATCACCATTCGAGCTGATTTATCATCGTAAACCCAATGTGAGTTATTTTCGTAATTTTGGGTCTATTTGTTATGTTCACGTACTCAAATATAATTGAACTAAACTTGACCCAAAGGCCAAAAAATGCATTTTTGTTGGTTATGATACTCATAGAAAGGGTTGGAGGTGTATGGATTTGGAAACAAAGAAGGTTATTGTATCTCGTGATGTGGTGTTTGATGAATTTTCAAGTTACAAACACGATGCAGATGGTAGCAAAAGTATAACTACTGTTGCACTATTTCCCAGTGATTCTAAATTAGGGAGAAAAGATTTTTCAATTGCGCCAACCATTCAAGCCGAGGAGAATACTGAAGTAACTACAAATATTGAAGTTGCCGCAAGAAAAAATCCTCAAAGACAGAAAAAGTTACCAGATCCTGATTTTATAGTTGACATTAATCCATTTTCTGTTTTGTCTCGTTTTTATATGGGAGATACAAGTGAAAATGAGTCGAAGTTGTACGACGAAGCTAAAAGGACTTCAAAATGGGAAAATGCAATGATGGAAGAAATTTCAGCACTTGAAAGAAATGACACGTGGGAGCTTGTACCAAAGTCTCGTGATGCCGATTTACTTGTAGGTGGGTTTACAAGTTGAAGAAGAAAGTTGGTGGTAGAACTGATAGACTATGATAAGACTTCTAGTGGGTTCTCTCAGCAATATGGTCGAGACTATGATGAGACTTCTAGTCCGGTCGAAAGAATGGTAATATTACAGACAATCATCTTTTTAGCGGCTAGTAATTGCTGGAAATTATGACAGCTTGATGTGAAAAATGCTTTCTTATATAGAGAGTTGGATCCTTATATTTTTATGGAGCAGCTGCAAGAGTTACCTTTAAGAACATCCTGATTATGTGTGCAGACTTAAGAAAGCATTGTACGGACTCAAGCAAATTCCTCGTGCTTGGTTTGGTAAGATTGTTCAATATCTTAATTTTTATAGTTTTAAGTTTCATGTGCTGATTCGAGCTTATTTGTTAACAAAACAACAACTATATGCACCTGCTCTTACTTTATGTTGATGACATGATTATTACTGGTGATGATATTGTTGAAATCAGTAGTCTACAAGATGCCTTGTCTATTTGTTTTGAAATGAAAAGATGAGGAGAAGCTGATTGTTTTCTGGGTTTGGAAATTAAAACTGTGATGGTTATTTTCTCTCTCAAAATGAATATGCAGCAAGTTTATTGCAGTCGTTTATGCACCGAGAATTCAAGAGATAAAATTACTCCTATGAAACCAAATCTCAAATTATTTAGAAATGAAGAGAAATGATGCTACATTCTCTTGTCTTGGTAGTTTATTTTATTTAACAATTAGGCCAGACCAGACATTGCTCTTTCAGAATTGTTTCTGATCAACGAGACTCATTTAATTGCAACAAAACGAATTCTTTGTTACATCAAGCGTACTCGATTAATACATGAGAAATCAAAGTCATTTTTTCTGGAGTGGTTTTGTGGATGCTAATTGGGCTAATGACTTGAACCATAGATGATGCTGATCGGGCTAGTGACTTGAACCATAGATGCTCTCATACAAGTTTTTGTTTTACAAAAGGATCTGTGTTTTAGGTGCAGCAGTAATAGAAAGCAAAGCAGTGTTTATTTGTCCAATTGTAAAGTTGAATATGTAGGTGCTACAATGGCTAGTCAATAATGTTTGTGGCTAAAAGACTTATGCAAGAAAGAAATGATGTTCTCTTCAATTCAATTCAAATTAATTGTGACAATGAAAGTGGAACAAAACTTGCGGTAAATCTGGTGTTTCATGCTCGTTCGAAACATATTGAAATTCATTATCATTTTGTTAAAAAGAAATGTCAGACGTTGAATTGCAGAAAATACATACTAATGATCAAGTTCCAAACATGTTTATCAAGACACTTGACAGCTCTCCAAGTTATTGAGAAATAAACTTATCATCGACTTTCAAAATTTAGCCATTTATTCTAGTGTGAATCAGCCAAATTATTCATTTTTATTAGAGTCATTATTTATAAGCAGTTTCCTGAAGACATCTCTACTCGTCGTACCTCTGTTCCTCTTCTTGTACACATTTCAATACTTAATAGTAATTTATAACCCAACTGATGTAATACAATAGTTTATAGAAAAGCATTAGATTGGAGCTTACTCAAATATTGAAGTGACAGAATTTATAAGCTTACTCTTGCTTCACTCTAATCCTTCCTTTTGATAAAGAATATGAAACAGTAAGATTAAATGGCTTGCTCTAAATCCCAAAATAGTTTATGCTAATCCACTCCTGCCTTTTGCTTCAACATTGCGACGAAATTGTCTCTCTCCTCCGGCGACATGCCTTCTGCCGAACAATCTCCAACTCCCCATTCCGCACCACGGATGCAATATTTGTCAGCAATTTTCTGACGGTTCCTGATGTTTTGCACAACAATAGAGCAACAGTAATTTCCATCAGTTCAATGCATTAGTTCATTAACCAAATTTGTGATCAAACCTGAAAAAAAAAACAAGCGAAATCTTGTTTTACTTTTCCTTGTTCATCTTCGATCGCTCCAGAAGTTCCTTCAGCACGGGAGATGATTTGAATCTGGCATCAGCTTCCGCGTATTTCTTCTGGTTCTCTTCTGCACACCAGGTTCAAAAGTTAGGTTTATTGAACGATTGAAGCGTTTCTGTCCTCTTCAGATGAATTTGAATGTAATCGAACCATTAAAGCGATTGAGAAAGTCGATTTGAGGCAATTGCGGACCAGGAACCGATTCAATTCCCGAGAATCCTGATAGAAATCCAGCATTCGCTGCATATAATCGGCTAATTAATCAGCTTCGGATGCTAAACAGCACGAATCGATTCTTCAATCGAAAAAATTACCGAATATCAAGAATTACCAAAACGCAAAAATTCATTTCCGTACGGATTTGTGGATAAGACGAGGTAAACAACTATTTTTCCAAAAATGAAAACTGCTCGATAAATCAACTCGTGAAGAACACAGTAATGAAATTAAACCTGGAGTCGGCCACATGAGAAGGGAAATCGAGGCGACGAACGCGATGGATTTCTGAAGAACTGGCGAGCACGTTGAAGAAGACGACGAAGACGGAGAAGCGAGAGGAATTACAGGTTTCTCCATGGAAGTGAATCTGACATTGTTGTGAAGATTAGAAGAAATTTCAGAGGGCGGGAAGGTTGCGGATGGAATTCGAGCAAATGGTTGGGGAAGAAAGGGAAGGGATGAGGAACCCATTGTCGCTCTGTTCTTCCCTCCACCAAACGGCCAAGTTGAAAATCAATAAATAAATTATTTTGATAATTGTAAACCATGGTAGAGTTTCTAGGTCCAACCAACTTCACTTGGGTTGACCCTACTAGAAAGTAAGGCTGTAATTTATGAGAACGTTTTGAACTTGAATGGTGCGACAAGATACCTTTTTGTTATCTTATGTTAGTATAGACGCGTGCCTCCGATATTCATCTTCGTCATGATATCATGGGAGTCTTTTCTTTTCCGTGGCGTCCGACGATGTGTAATGCGTTTAGTCCAACTATGCCAGGTCTAGCGACGTGTACGTGCTACCTTTATATTTTTCAAGTAAATGTAAATCTCTCATGCACCGATGACGGTGACCACTGGAAAAGCTATGAAAGTCAGGGTAAATCATGATAAGCAATAGTATTGAATTTAATTAGCAGTTGATAGGTGTTTATTTATTATGAGATTTTCGCATGGGTTTAAAGCATGCATGCAGTGACGTCGCTGCTTAGGGTATGAAAATTAGGGGCGTTGTAAAAAAACACAACTGATGGAAACAAATTCCTGTTTGGAATACCCAAACCATGGATAGCAATAAACGAACACATCAAAGCAAACGACCTAGGAAATCACATCATGATCCGTAGCCATTTTTAAGAAAAGAAAATAAGAATTATTAAAATTTACCAAAATACTATGAACAGAATTATAAACGAAAATATAGAGGTGAGAAACACAGAGAAGTAAGATTGAAGGAGAAATAAAATCGAAGATATGAAGAAAAAAAAATATTAAATTGTTGATACTCGAGTATATAATAGTATAATAAATAATATTTGGATGATTGGATCTAAACAACACGATTTTTTTTTTGTTTATTTATGTTTTACAATAGAACGCAATTTAGAAACAATGAAAATATAAAAGTTGATTTTTAATGAGGCAATTAAGTTTATATTCAAAAAAGGTGAAGCATCGCCATAATGAGGACGAATTCGAAAGACAAAAGCAAAGACATTTTGAGCTGGAATAGAACTTTGGTTAAGGTCAACCAAGTAAGTGGCTTTACTATCGGTTCTGTCGGAAGACTTGTCTTATGTATAACGACATGTGCCTAGTGGCCCTTGCACGTGTCATTTATATTTTATGTTATATGATGATGTAATAATGTTGTAGGATGACATGATGATGTATATGATGAGTTGACGAAATTATGTGATGATGTAATGATGTTGTGTGATAATATGATGATGTTATATGATCATGTGACGACGTTATATGCTGATGTGATAATGTATATGATGTATATGAGATGATGACATGATAATGCATGATAACATGACGATGTAAGATGTATTAAATGTCATGATAGATTATGACGACGATTTTTCTAGGACACAACCCTAGTTAATGCTAATGATGATGATCGCATGAAGGTCAATGCATGCATGTTGCTTAGAGTAATATGTGGACGGGCATAGAGTTGTGTCATAATGATGATTTAAAGACGAAAACTATTACGACCTCATATACATCGGATTAATTCCCCATTTATGATGATGAGTAGGGACGCGTACTTTATGATAATGATGATGATCATGCCTCTCATAATACTCAGGGGTTTGTTGACCTCCAGACATTGCTACAGATAGATAGCTCGACTATGATGGGTCTAGGGGCGGTGCAATCCACCTGAGGATCCACATTCGTACGTGTGGGTCGTGTGTAGGGAAGTATTGCATATCCAATTTTGTCCGGACTAGAGGCTACCCCTATAATGATTTTAACTATAGATCCCTAATCATGACTTGCATGTGTTTACATTCTCTGATCTCAAGAGTGGGCTCACTTACTACCTTATGATGGTTTGAACGATAAGTCCCTAATCATGAGTTGCATGTGTTTGCATTCCCTAACCCAAATAATGAGTCACTGAGTATTTCTTAGAATACTCAAGTTTTGTGCTACTTCTATTTCAAGTAAAAACAAGATATCCCTGTACGGTTGACAACGACATCGCATTCAAGACCATGACATATGCATAGAATAATGATATTTTATTTCTTAGACTTTAGGTTAGGATAAAGTGTTCTAAATTTTATTGTTTATTTATTTCATTTAATGTTTTATAATGTTGTTTTAAAGATGTTTTTGAACACGTAAATCCATGACAATATTTTATGATGAAGTTTTAAATGTATAATTCCGCATTAGAGCATACGTTATGATAATGTCATGATAACAGTAGAGACTTTAGGTTAGTAGAAATCTAGGGTCATTACAATAACTACTCCGTAAGAACACATTCCCCAAATATTTTAACTAAGAGAAGCTCAAAAATTAAATGACCTCAAGATCCCATTATTACAATAACTACTCTGTAAGACCACATTCCCCAAATATATATGCATGATCGTAAGGATGTTAGAATACTACCGATTAATACAATCATGCACATACAACCTATCCTACACGATAAGAAAGAATATGAAAGAATGTCCGAGAATATTATCTCCAAACTAAAGAAGAATAGACCAAGATAATATAATGTTGGAAATGAACGCTTCACCCCACAATGGAAGCGTTGGAATTGGTTTTAATTTTATTTAGAATTAAATAAATCAAAAAGGTTAAGCAAACTTAGAATAAATATGAAAAAAATACGGGTGAGTGTGTAATCCAACTATATTTTATAAGATCTCCTTGTTAGCTCATATTAATACTAAAATGTTGAATTTATTCGATTTTTTTTAAATGTTTGGATTAAAATTTAATACATTAAATACATTAAATATAAATGAAAAATATATTTAATTTAAAAGGTTAAATTAAAATTTAAATATATTAAACATCAGAGTGAAAAATTATATTTATTAAATTTGATACATTAAATATTAAAATAGCATATTAATTAAAAATATATATTTAAAATTTGGAGAATGAGAAAATTTATATTTATTTGATAAAGATTCTCTCAATCTCTTGGTTCGAGAGGACACTTTATACAGGAGAATCAATCATTGGAAGACGGATTAGGATTTAAAATGATTAGAATTTAAATTCGAATTTGTCACATATGATGGCTCCGACAGTCCCCATACATCCCCTACGACATAGTCACCTATTTACTCTTTCACGTATCAATATGAGTTCTTCCACCATGTTTTCTTCTTACTTACATTCGAAGAAAAATTCTTAAGATGTCATCCAACGTTGGATTGCTCCAAACAAAGCATGCTTAACTAGAAAATTTTTATGAAGCCAGCGAAAAGATAGTATTATAAATAGAGTTAGGGATGAAATTGGAGAGAGAGAAAGAAATAGAGAAATAGATAAGTATCATTCATTTATTGGTCATTATCTAAAATTCATATAAATGCAATTGAGTTGGTCCAGAGCTTTCTATTCGAATGAGGAACTCCAGATTGCTTCCTTGAAAGTCAGAAATGTTGGAAAAATAACAATAGTGGGATTGTTTGAAAATTCACCAAATCATATAGTTTAAGACATTTCATGAAGATATATCATTCATAAGCTTTTCCAAAGCATGGAGTGAAATGTAAAATATCAGCAAAGATGGCAATGCAAAAAGGAAAGTTATTAGCAAGTAAAGCAGCAAGATGAGTGCACTTCCAGGGATTACAAAAACTACTATCAGAACAAATATGACAGCCAGTAGAAACTTGAAGATTAAATGGATGACGCAATCTAAATGTTCATAGGAAAACAACCGTCGTCGCCTCTCTATTCCGTGGCGACTAACACGACCGTCTGAAAACGAATGCCTCTGAGAAGCATCGGCGTCGGATGGAGGCAGAGAAAAAACTGGTTGATTATCCCCATTGAAGGGGTGATCAAGTTTTCCCTCATTGCCATTAAGGCTCTCAACCATCCAAAGAAGAAAAAAGTTCTTGCTGGGAAACTTCAGGTTCCCCTTGTATACGACCCGTAAGGAAAGCTGATGACACCACGGGCACGATATGAAGATCGGGATTCGGATTTGGCGAGTTGCTAGTTTCAGCACATACCCTTGAAGGCCTAATACACAATTTCTGCATAATGTATGGCCACACCATAAGACATACGGCACATTCTCCACAATGTTGAAAGATTCCCAGCATATTGGGCATTCCAATTCTTCATCTCTACTGTCTTCCGAGCACACCTCGTCGTCCGAGCACTCCCAGAAAGCTTGCTTAGATACAGCAGAGTTATTCTTAGATCGAATGCCAGCGAAGGCGTTCGATGCTAGCTTCCACATCCTGGCAGAAGAATTGTTTCAATAGGCTACAGACAGGACATCTGCAAAATGGATGTTCTTCATCTATGAAAGAAAATCTACAATTTTCACTAAGTTTCCTTCTCCCTATATTCAATCCAAGAAATTGCACTTCTCAAACCCAAACAAACAAGTTTCAAATGAGAGATCCAACAAAGGAGTTACTTGAATGATGCAGAGCTTTCTACAAAAATATCTTTGAAAACAATCTTTAGAAATCTGTGGAACCTCTTTAGTAAAATTGAAAAAATCAATGGTATCAAATTATCACTTTGATGGAAAATTTTATATAAATAAGGACATTTTTCATCCAAAGATTTCAACAACAATCAACAACCAGTTCTAAGCATGCATACACGAGAGAGTCATCGATCATACGGCTGTGCCAATTCAACAATTTTCGACATTCAAACCTTCAGCAAATAAGTAGACTATCCACCAAAAAACAACAAAAGAAAAGCAAGAACTCGCAAAAATAGAAAAAATACAGCGGAAGTCCAGTATGCGTACCAAGTCTCACAAAATAATCAACACCGAAGAATGTTGGCATACATTGTAACAGAGATGTAACCATCCGATAAACGCCATATCGCAGAAGATAGAAAAAGAAGAAAACAAATTGCTTCCCAGAAAATGCACTTGCTTCAAGATCAAAGATTCAATTAAAAAAAAAAAAAGTCGCAAAATTATTGACGACAACAACAACAACAACAACAACAACAACATCCATCGCCCTCAACAATACAGCGGAGAAATGTAATCATTCTTACAAATCGACGGGAGAATCGAAATTCAAGAGAATCCTAATCAAAATCAAACGAAACATGAAACAAAAAAATCAAAATCAAAATGAAAATCAAAGACGAACGTAAAGTGTTGTTACCTTTAGAGAAACTGGATGAACATGAATTTGCAAGAACACGGAAGGATTCAGAAAAAGAACAGAGAACCAGAAAAATATCGAGGAGGAAGGTCGCTATCTTCCCCCTTCATATTCTCTCAGCCAAGCCAAAGTGCAGGATGCCGATTGCGTTTTGGAGGAGAGTTTCGAATTCATATTCCTGTGTAGTTCAGAATATGATTTTGTTCCACACAAATGAGAATAATAAATGTTTATTTATTTTTTTTTTTCAAATTAATTAATTATACATTTAATTTATTATCAATTTCTAACGTTTCTTGAATCACTCAAATCATAGCTCAAACGAAAAAGTTAGAGCTGAAATAAAAAATAACCAAATGTGAGAGGTAACGACGAGTTATGTATAAATAAAATAATAAAAATTGAAAATAACATAAAGTTAAGATGTCATATACTAACTTATATGCTACTATATGGAAATGCAAACTGGCCTATACTAACCTACCGTCTACTAAATTCAAATTGCAAACTACCTTATGTATGTACCACGGTTTTCTAGGTTGCGATGCCATCGTTAGCCGTACAGGGAGTCTTGCGTTTACCTATAAAAATGAGAGTTCACATGACTTTGAGTATTTTAAGAAACCTATCATATCCCGTCTATATCAGAGTTATTTCTTTTGTGGTTTGCCAAACAATGTTTCTCTTTCTCTCACAGAGCTAGACATTTCTCGTTCTCTCTCTCGTTCCTTCTCTTTTCCTTGCCGGTGGTCTCTAAGAGAAGCAGCAGAAAAGTTGCGATGACTTGGGTGTAACGTGAGTGTCGAGGAAGCGTGGAACCGCTTACTCTGTGCGTTGCCTGAGAATTTCGGTGAGGCGCTGAAATTTTGGAGTTTTCTGGTGACTCAATTTTTTTTTCTCCAAGAGTGTCAAGGAAGCGTGGAACGCTTACTCCGTGAATTGCCTGAAAATTCCGGAGTCGTTGGAATTTTTGAGTTTTCTGATGACTCAATTTTTTTTTTCTCCAACTTTCCAATTTTATTTCTCTTCATAGATATTTTTATTGTATTTTGAGGAAATAATTGTGAAACTTAAGATATTTTTATTGTATTGTGAAAAAATAGCTGTGAGTGCTCAACTTGAGCATCTAATTCTTCAGAGATATTTTATTGTATTGTGAGGAGATAGTTTTATTGTATTGTGAGGAAATAGTTGTAAGTGCTCAACTTGAGCAACTACTCTTTTTTTTATATAAAATTTCAATTATGGTAATTGTTAGATTTTGGTCGTAAAAAGGATTGAGTTTGCTCTTGACCTCCTAAAAGAGCTAGGTAAAAAGGATTGAGTTTGCTCCTGACCTCCTAAAAGAGCTAGGTAGCTGTTCAATTCTGAGGGAGGAAAGAGTCAGTAAAGTTTTATATTCAAATTTACAAGAGGTGGTTGAGAGAGTAGAGTAAATAGCATTTGACAAACCACTCCAAAACTACTTTTCTATTTAATTTCAAAATTATTATTGCAATTTATGGCATATTCTAAGTTTTTTTTTTTTTGTGATAGTGTATTGTTTTGAATTGAATTATTTTTTATATACTTATTATATTAATGATTATCTTTAGTTATTTCTAAAAGTTTTAATAATACGAAAAGTTAAGTATACTTAAATAATTTTATTACTAAAATCCTATTCAACCCTCTAAAGTCATCGTGACAACAATTAGTATTGAGAGCAAGTTGCTCTTATAGATTATATATATATATATATAGATATATATAAACTTTATTGTTAGAGCTTATAACAAAACGGCCGGTTAATAACAACTTTAGCTTGTATCAATTTAATTACTGGCCCTTTGCATGTACCTGAAAGACCAATTACAAGAAGCAAGGCAAAGAAGATACAAGAGGCCTATACATTACCTTCAAAGGCTAGCTAGTGTACAAGTTGAAACAAACACTTTTGAGCCCAAATTTTTTTATATCATTAGCATATTAAATCAAGAAAATAATGAAGTGGCTAACATTGAAAAGTGATTAGAAGACTTTGCCTTTGGTTGTTGAATTACCAATTAAGACAATTTATGTTTGTCTTATTTTCTTCGTTTTGTATTTTTGTATTTACAAGCTTTTATTGATAGTTGTAATTTGTAGTTGGTAGATGAACTTCATTATATTTGGTTATCTTTTTAGTCTATTTAAAGACATGTAATATTCATGCTTAAAATCATTGTTGAATACAAAGAAAATCGGTGTGTTTTCTTGATACCTTTTTGGTATTATTCTTTTTCAAACCTTGCTTTAGGTTTGATGTCTAAATCGATTCATTGAATTAGTTTTGATCCAGCTAACTATGGAGTGAGTCGTCTTGGAATCTAAGAATGGCTAGAATAGATTCCAAGTTCGATCTAAGAGTCATTCATCTTTAACCAGCTCTTGATTGGAATCAATTCGTTAAGTTAGCTTCTTTTGCGAACGTTTGCAAGGATTTTAAAAAGACATCTAACTTTAAAAAATCCAGCATTGTTGGCACTTATCAACCCCTAGTGTCCTTATTTTGATGGAACAAATTAGGCTTCGAAAACTAGAAAAATAATTTACAAGTAATCTATTGATTATCAATTATGGTTGAATATTAGTTATTATTTGAACGTACAATCTATTGATTATCAATTATGGTTGAATGTTAGTAAACGTTGTTATGTTACAATAAAAATTATTAATAATATTGAGGTGCCTAAAACATAAGCGAATGAAAATTTATTTGCAATCTATTGACCATAAATTATGGTTCCATATTAGTTAATAATATTGAGGTGCAATCTATCGATTATCAATTATGGTTTAAAGTTAGTAAACAATATTACATTGCAAAAAAAATTGTTAATAATATTGAAATGCATTGTCACTTGAGGGTCGTTTATGAGTATTGACTCGATCTATGTATTTTGGGTCTTTTATATTTCATATCTCGAACCCTTTCTCCGTCTGTAACAAACCTTTAACGGCGCATGTTTGTATTGCTTTTCAATTTGTCTTAGTCGCGGCGTTTTGATTTTAAATTGCACTATTTTAATGTTTAATTTAATTTTGCTTTTATTTTTATTTTCCTTTCTTTTTGTCATTTTCGTCACGGTTTGAGATTTGAAGCCTCGAAAAATCACGTAACGAAAGACTCAACGACTCTTGGTCCAGCTTAAACAGTCCGTTGGACCGATCAACCTAGACCTCTGATACCAAGTTTAGTTCATAAATTTCTTGGCTGAATCAAGCATGCAACGTGCTCACAATGATTCCACCCTAGTCCTTGTCGATTCCGACAAGTATTTCTTCAATGGAAGTCCAAAACAATCAATTACACGCTCAATGTGTGTTCGAGGGCACGGTTCTCGGGCTTATATCAAGCTCTAGAGCTCTTAAACTTTCTCGTAGAGGTCCAAAATGAATCGAGATTATAAAAACAAAAATAAAAATAAAAATTTCAAATATGGCGTCGCCCAGACTTGAACTGGAGACCTTCAGTGTGTTAGACTGACGTGATAACCAACTACACCACGACACCGTTGGGAGCCTCTCCAGAAGGTCAGACAACCATAGAGTTAAGCCCAAGCTTCCTAGAGCCTATTGAAAAGCCCGTGGAAACCTACTGAGAACTGGATGCGATGATAGCCTACAAGTAGGCTGCTTACCGAGTACATTTTATTTACTCGCCGCATTTTAGATTTCTTTTTCAGGTCTTCGCTAGCCGTCGCTCGAGGTGGGGGAGCGTTTGAGAGCTGCATTGCCACTTGAGGGTCGCTTATGAGTGTCGACCCAGTCTGTGTACTTTGGGCCTTTTATATTTCGTTCGAAATAGTATCCCGAACCCTTTCTCCGTCTGTAACAAACCTTTAACGGCGCATGTTTGTATTGCTTTTCAATTTGTCTTAGTCGCGGCGTTGTTTGATTTTAAATTGCACTATTTTAATGTTTAATTTAATTTTGCTTTTATTTTTATTTTCCTTTCTTTTTGTCATTTTCGTCACGGTTTGAGATTTGAAGCCTCGAAAAATCACGTAACGAAAGACTCAACGACTCTTGGTCCAGCTAAAACAGTCCGTTGGACCGATCAACCTAGACCTCTGATACCAAGTTTAGTTCATAAATTTCTTGGCTGAATCAAGCATGCAACGTGCTCACAATCATTCCACCCTAGTCCTTGTCGATTCCGACAAGTATTTCTTCAATGGAAGTCCAAAACAATCAATTACACGCTCAATGTGTGTTCGAGGGCACGATTCTCGGGCTTATATCAAGCTCTAGAGCTCTTAAACTTTCTCGTAGAGGTCCAAAATGAATCGAGATTATAAAAACAAAAATAAAAATAAAAATTTCAAATATGGCGTCGCCCAGACTTGAACTGGAGACCTTCAGTGTGTTAGACTGACGTGATAACCAACTACACCACGACACCGTTGGGAGCCTCCCCAGAAGGTCAGACAACCATAGAGTTAAGCCCAAGCTTCCTAGAGCCTATTGAAAAGCCCGTGGAAACCTACTGAGAACTGGATGCGATGATAGCCTACAAGTAGGCTGCTTACCGAGTACATTTTATTTACTCGCCGCATTTTAGATTTCTTTTTCAGGTCTTCGCTAGCCGTCGCTCGAGGTGGGGGAGCGTTTGAGAGCTGCATTGCCACTTGAGGGTCGCTTATGAGTGTCGACCCGGTCTGTGTACTTTGGGCCTTTTATATTTCGTTCGAAATAGTATCCCGAACCCTTTCTCCGTCTGTAACAAACCTTTAACGGCGCATGTTTGTATTGCTTTTCAATTTGTCTTAGTCGCGGCGTTGTTTGATTTTAAATTGCACTATTTTAATGTTTAATTTAATTTTGCTTTTATTTTTATTTTCCTTTCTTTTTGTCATTTTCGTCACGGTTTGAGATTTGAAGCCTCGAAAAATCACGTAACGAAAGACTCAACGACTCTTGGTCCAGCTAAAACAGTCCGTTGGACCGATCAACCTAGACCTCTGATACCAAGTTTAGTTCATAAATTTCTTGGCTGAATCAAGCATGCAACGTGCTCACAATGATTCCACCCTAGTCCTTGTCGATTCCGACAAGTATTTCTTCAATGGAAGTCCAAAACAATCAATTACACGCTCAATGTGTGTTCGAGGCACGGTTCTCGGGCTTATATCAAGCTCTAGAGCTCTTAAA